CTTTTCTGCTGCTCTGATGCTGCTTGGCCTGCTGTGTTCATCCAGCTCTACACCTTGTTATCTTGTATTTTCTTCTGTCATTTTAAATTTCCCTCCAGTTGTAAAAATTATTCATTCCCGGAAGGTTGGTGTCACTGGCCAGGTCAGCATCTATTGTTTAGAGCAACTGACTAAGCCACTTCAGAGGACAGTTCCAAGTTAATGTGGGACTAGAGTTCCAAACTGATGGGTAAGGTTGGTGAGTTTCTTTCTTTAAGGCAAACTCATATGGTTTTGTATGATATCATAACCAGCATTTAATCTTTCACATTTTTCGAAAGCTAAATTCAAATTTCTAATTAAGGGTGTGAGCTCATATTCTCTTGATCAATAGTCGAGGGACTGGATTATTCATCCAGTAATATAGCCTTTACACCACCATGTCCCATTAGTGCACAGCCAAGGATTGTGACCAACTGAGCAGGATATGGTTGTCTTCTCCCTATCCTGTACATCAGCCACAGGATGACATGGACAAGCAGCTGCTGCACTGAATTCCCTTCTCTACCTAAAGGAAATGCCTTCCTCATTTGAGATAGGGAATTATAGCAGCAGTTTGCAGTCCTCCACCATGCAAACCTGTGGTGCAGTGGGTACTGCTTGATGAATTCAGACAGACTAGCATTACGAGCTGTTGGAATGTGATTCAATCTACTAGATTTCTCAGATACTGACTCATATGTTTTCTGTTTATGGCCAGCTCACCCTCTCACCCTAATCAGGTGAATGACGTTGAAACCAGTGATGAGACCCCTGCAACTCAGGAAGAGCCAGCAACCTCAGAGAGGATCTGAGGATCAAGTCAGAGTGATATACTCTGCGCTATTGTGAAACTGCCCAGGACCTCAGCATGCAATGATATCTCATCACTCAAATTATTTAAGTTAAGATATTGACTGGATTGAACACAGTCTGAGGTGGAATTGAGACTGTGGACTTTACCACAACAAAGTATTGGACTGTAACTTGCAAAACCAACTTTGAATCAGTTAACATTTAATGCTTATTTCAGTAACAGAGGAGCAAAGACAGAATGGACAAGGTGTTCCTGGAACATACAAAAATGTCTTTTGATGCAGGGTATTGTGAACTTTCTGTGATGGGTGTTGCTTGGAAGGACAGTTTGTGAGCTTAATGTCTTTTAGTCCCATGAGAAAGATACTATTCTTCTTACTGCTAGACCCAACTATTCCAATTGTCTTTTTCCAAAGAAGAGTCATAATGGACATGAAACATTATCCAAATCCTCTCTCCATAGATATGGCCAGCCCTGCTGAGTTTCTCCAGCACTTGCTCTTTTATTTCAAGTCTCCAGCATCCACAGTATTTGTTTTTTTTTGTATTTCAGTGGAATCCTGGCAAGCCTCCAACTTTCCACCTTCCCAATCTCTGCTGCCTGTATCCTAACTCATACAAAGCCCTTGCCTACAGTGCTCTCTGACCTACACTGGCTCCTAGTCTGACGACACTTTGATTTTAAAATTCTCATCCTGGTTTTCAAATCCTTCCTTGGCCCAACTCCTTCCAATCTCTCTAATCTGCTACAGCCTCACAACTCTGCAAGATCGCTCTACTGTGGCCTCTTATCTAACTACCCATTTTCATCACTTTGCTGTTGGTGGTCGTGATTAAGCTGCTTGGGTCCCAAGGTCTGTAATTCCCTCCCTCAACCTCTACCTCCACCTCTCACTTCTCCTCAAAAACACTCCATAAAACCTACCTCTTTGATCACTTGAGCTTATATTTCTGTATGTGACTTGGTTGTCAAAGTTGGCCTGATAACCCTCCTACGATACCCCTTGGGATGTTTTACAATGTTAAAGGTGTTATATAGAAATGCATATTGTTGTTACATATACCTGCTACATTGTGCATATCTGCAGAGAAAACATAAGTCCCTGTTGAATGGATGAGTCACCTTTATGTGTTGGGAGTAGAGCAATGGTTAGTCAATAGAATCAACCTCTTGGGCCATCAGCTTCACGAAGATTGACGGAACCTCAATTTGTGGGAAATAATGGTGGGGAGGTAGAGTTTCAAACCAAATATTGTACCCTTGTTCTTATTGATGTCATTAAATCTCCATGGCTGAAGGTTGATCGAGACATTAATGACACCAGGAGATTCTCCTGCTTGTAAATCATGTTGAGGCTGTTTGTGGAAGTGGGACTGCTCCTGATTGCAAGAGCTTGGAGCTATGGGGGCAACTTGTTGCTGAAAAATAAAAGGGTATCAAAGGATGGATCTGGTTTACACCGAGACGCACACACTGCAGCTAGAAATCAGGTCATGAAAAATTAAAATCTTACTCTCAAAGTGTTTCACAGTCAGCAAAGAGGGGCCACTGTCTTAACAAAGGAAACTGGAGGCAAGATCCCACACACAGGAATGTCATAAACTGTTTTAATGATGATAGGTGAGGGATAAATATTGGCCTAGAACTCTCTGTTTCTGATGGGACCTTGGTTTAAAGTATCATCTGAAAGACAACCCCTCCTACAGTGCAGTGCTGGTTTGGGGACCTCAGCCTGCATTTTGAGCTAATGTCCTTGGGATGAAGCTAGAAACCACAATCTTCTAAGTCAGTAATGCACTGAGCCCCAGCTAGTAAATTGTAAAGTTGTGGACAGTAGATGTGGTGGGCCTTCTGAAGGGTCTAGCCTCACTCTCCTCCCCTGCCCACTTTGGTAGTGTCAAATAATGAAAATGACTAAAGATGCAACAGACATCACAAATGGAGACTGGTTCTGATGCTGCTTTTTAGTTTGAAAGAGGATACCATTACGTTCCAGCAGGATCAGAATGATATGGAAGCCTGATAAGAGATACAGAGAATAACCAGTACAGTCCAGCTACAGCCCGGGAACTAAAGATGACAAATAAGGGAAATGCTGTTGTGAATTTTGTTTCGGAGATTGATAACTTATCTGCTAATTAAATGAAAAGAATGCCCAACATCATTTAATACAAAACAATGCACATGATTAACACCTTGAGCATTCATTCCCTCCACCATTGACACTCAGTAGCAGCAGTGTGTATCATCCACAGGTTGCACTGCTGGAACTCACCAAACCTCCTTTGGCAGTGCCTTCCAATTTATGAACTCTACACCATCCAAGGTGACAGCAGAATAGGACTCCTCAGCAGGAGCTCATCTGTTCCATCTGTTTCTATCTTTGTTTTCCCTTTTCATATTTCCTTCCTTCATTCGTCTTACCGATGGTCACAAGAGCCTCGAGGTGAAGCTAGCTCAGACTCCCAGCCTCAGCGTGGGCTCACGGCCTCAGCGTGGGCTCCCGGCCTTGGCGCAGGCTCCCAGCCTCAGCTCAGACTCCCGGTCTCAGTGGGGGCTCCGAGTCTGAGCGCAGGCTCCCGGCCTCAGTGCGGGCTCCCAGTCTCAGCTCAGACTCCCGGCCTCAGCACACGCTCCCACTCTCAGCGTGGGCTCCCGGCCTCAGCGCGGGCTCCCGGTCTCAGCGCGGGCTCCCGGCCTCAGCGCGGGCTCCCAGCCTCAGCTCAGACTCCCGGCCTCAGTGCAGGCTCCCAACCTAGAGGTGAAGCCCAGCACGGTCTAGAGGTGAGGGCTGACCAGGTTGGAAGGACTGTTATTCTGAACTTTTTATTTAATTATTTTTCTAATTTATTTCTATGATTTTGTGCCTAAGATGGCACAAAGGCCTTTAATGCTGGACTTTTAATTTTTTTTTCCCTAAGAATTTGTACTTAAGAATCTGTACCTAGGCACCATGTACCTAAGATGGTGCCATAAGTGGCAACTTATAAACTTTTCACTGTAATCATGAGTACATGTGACAATAAAGCTAATTCTAATCCTAATCTGGAAGGACAAGGAAAGCAGATACATGGGACACCACCACCAAGCTTCCCTCCAAGTCACACACCACCCAGACTTGGAAATATATCTGAGGTCTAACCATCATCAGCTGCTTCATCAATGACCTTACCTCCACCATTAGGTCAGGACCAAGGATGTTCGCTGATGATTGCACAGTGTTCAGCACCATTCACGATTTCACAGATATTGAAGCAGTCTGTGTCAAAATGCAATAAGACCTAGACAATATTCAGGTTTGCGTTAACAAGTGGCAAGTATCATTCACACCACGCGAGTGCCAGGCAATGACCATCTCCAATAAGAGAGAATCTATCCATAACCCCTTGTCAACCAGTGGCATTATCATTACTGAATCTCTCACTGTCAACAAGTTGGAGTTACCATTGACCAGAAACTCAGCTGGATCACAGTATAAATATAGGGATATAAGAAGAGATCAGAGGCTAGAATTCTGCAGCAAGTAACTCACCACCTGTCCTCTCACTTGTGTTAATGGGTACAGTTCCAGCAATGCCATAGAGGACAGGCAGCCCACCTGATTGGTACAACATCCACCATCTTCAATTTTCACTCCCTTTACCAATAACAGCAGTGTGAACAACCTAAAAGATGAACGGCAGTAACTAATCAAGCTTCCTTCGACAGCATATTCCAAACTCTCAACCTTCACCATCCTAGAAGGACAAGGGCAGCAGATATAAAGGAACACCACCCCCTGCAAGTTCCCCTTGAAGCCACTCACCATCCTGACTTGGAAATATATCGCCGACCTTCAGTGTCTCTACATCAAAATCCAGGAAACTCCCTAACAGCATGGTGAGTCTCCTTACAACCCAAGTATTGTATCATCTCCAGGGCAGTTAGGGATGGGCAACACATGTTGACCCAACCAGTGATGCTCAAATTCCATAAACAGATTAAAAAACAAATTAGCACTCTCAAGGGCCAATATACCTTTGAAATGTGGAGATTTCTTAACCCCGGTCATACCTTCCTCATGTGTGCACTTACATCTCAAAGCTGTATCACAGCTACACTCTCCTTAATCAATTGACCAGTTTCTTACGTCGGATTCTGAACTTCCCCCAAACTCAGCAGTAATGAGTGAAGGAGCAAGATGCCAATCCAGGGTCCTTGAGACCCAGATGACTTCAGTTTTGTCTCCTTTTGTGACATTTATTATTTGTCTGGAATAATTTCTATAAGATAGAACACGTATTTACACAGAATATTATCACATCTTCAGCAATGGCTTATCGGGCTTCGGGTAAAAGAAATGAGTTTGGCCACTAGTTTACGAAAGCTGTTCACCAGGAAAGTCTCCACAATCTGTTCCACTTGCTCTTCCTCCTCCCTCTGTCAACAGGATAAAATCCACCGTTTTCCAGCTCTTTTCAGTTCTGAAGAAGTCACAGTTGAAAGGTTAACTCTGTTTCTCTTGCCACAGATTGAGGTGGCTCCAGAACTTCTTGTTTTTATTTCAGATTTCCAGCATCTGTAGTTTTGCTTTTATCACCAGTAGAACTGCTTGCTTCTCTTCAACTGTTGGCATGGGTTGGAAACATAGAAAACAGGGGCAGCAGTAGATAATTCAGCCTCAAGCTTGCTCCACTATTCGGTGTGATCATGGCTGATAATCCAGCTCAGTCCCACATTCCTGCTTTCTCCGCATTCCCTTTCATCCTACTTTCTGTAACAGACAATTCCACAGGCTCACCATTCTCTGAGTGAAGGAATTTCTCTTCATCTCAGTCCTAAATGGGTTACCCCATGCCCTTAAACTATGACACCTGCTTCTGGACTCTCTGGTCATCAGGAACATCCTTCCTGTATTTACCCTGTCTAACCCTGTTAAAATGTCATAGGTTTATATTAGATCCACCTTCATTCTTATAAATTCCACCTAATATAATCCTAACCAATCCAATCCCTCTTCATACTCGGTCCTCAGCCATCCCAGGAATCAGCCTGGTAAATCTGTTGCACTCCCTCCATAACCAGATAAGGAGATCAAAACTGCACACAATATTCCAGGTGTGGTCTCACCAATACCTTGTAAAATTGCAGCAAGGCATCCCTGCACACTGAAATCTTCTTGCTGTGAAGGCCAATATACATTTGCCTTCTTCACTACCTACTGTGCCCCCATGTTTATCCTCAGTGACTGGTGTTCGAGGGCACCCAAGTATGGTTACAGTTCCATCTTTCTAAATCTATCACCAATCAGTTAATAATCTGCCTTCCTGTTTTTGCTCCCAAAGTAGATAACCTCACATTTATCCACATACTTAATCTGCCATGCATTTGCCCACTCACTCAATTTATCCAAATCACACTGAAGCAGCTCCTGCATCTTCAATGCCAAATTGAGCGGGATGGGGGGGAGAGGGGGGCGGGGTGCGGAATCATAGAATATTCCAACACAAGAGGCCATTTAGCCCATTGTGTCTGTGCCAGCTCTTTCAAAGATTTGTCCCAGTCCATTCACAGAACTCAATAGATTGGTCGTCTTTTAAATATCAAAGTTTCACAGTTAAAAGTTATAGTTTTATTAAAGTTTAAATGGGGTATTATTTTACTGCCCTTTCAGGCCGTGAATTCCAGATCTTGACAAACCTCTGTATTGAAATGCAGTTCTTTAATAGCAAAGCAGTCTTTTGCATATTTTGACGTTTTGGAAGTTGGTAAAAAGGAAAACCTGGAAATGATTGTTTTTGAATGTCCTAGTGAATTTTTCCACAATGTATGATCTGTAAACTGTAGAGCTGTACAATAAATCCCTGGACATCATGAACCAGCCAGAGATTATTCCTTGTAATGGCAAATAATTTCCCAATTGGACTGGAGTAGCAATGTCACGGTCATTTATCCATCAGCTATGAACATTATTGCACAGCAGCAAGATGGAAATGTGCTGACACTTGCCATCGACTGACACACATAGTCAACACAAGATACACACTCAAAAAAAATGGTTCTCCTGTATATGTTATAAATGATAGCAGGGAGAGATTTCCAGCAGTAATCTAATTTTAAGATCCAGAAGATTAGATTACTGTGTTGCAATCACACTCTGGTATCCATTAATCCTGATACTGTGCTCCCTTGTGAAACTTGTGACAGGGAACGTTGCTCAGTACTGTTGCTGTCACAATAATTGCTCATAAAATCACACAGCCTAAAAAGAGGCCTTTCAGCCCATCGTATCTCTTTCAAAGCTATCCAATTACTCAGACTCTACCATACTTCCCCACAGCTCTGCAATCTTTTCAAGTATATATCTAATTCCCTTTTAAAAGTTAGTCACTAAATCTGTTCCCACTACCTTTTCTCAGGGACCATATTCCACATCAGAACTTTGGTTCAAAACAAATCTCATCT